AAATTCTTATTATTATTATTATTAAAATGGACACGCCTGAACGCATGACCTTTGACTTGTGATATAATTTTTTGTTGAACTCTCACTATTCAATTCTGTTTTTTGGTTTTGGTAATTTCATTTCATTTTTCATCATCATCATCATAAGATTTGCATCGGTCATACTCTTTGTGTGCTACCGGTCTTTTTGTTGTTGTTGATGATGATCCTACCCATTTTGTTTTGGTCATCATAATCATCATGATCATCATATCGTCCAAACCCATATGTAGTGAAAGTTAATAAATGGAAAAAAAACGATGCGTTGTCAAATCAAATTATCATTTTGCCCAAATCAAAATTTATGGTGATTCATCATCATCATCATCAAGGATAAGATCGGATGATGGACGACAAACTTTTGTTTCACAAATTAATCAAGCACCAAACATTGAAAAATAATCAGCCTGTTAAGTATTTTCATTTTTGAATGTTTAATGAAGAAAAACTTCAATCAACTCTGAAAGGAAAGGAAAGAAAAACGTAAAAACGGTCTTTCACAATAAACGAAAACAACAACAACAACAAGTGATCATCACCACCATTGCCTGCTGTGATTTTTTCATTATCTTTGCCGTCATCAACGTTCAATCAGCGAAATTCTTCTTTCGTTTGCTACATTCATGAACTGTCTTTATGGTCTATGTCAAAACATCAAAAAATTTTTTTTCAACAAAAAAAAATTATTCTTATATTGATGAAATGAATAGAGATTCTTTGAACAATGTTGTTGATGATGATGATGGTAATTGAACATTGTTCTTCGAACAACTTTTCCAGCTAAATGAAATTTTAAATTTAAATTTTTTTTCCATCATTTTATTCGAGAAAAGAAACACGGAATTTCTGATTAAAAATTGGAAAAATCAGAAAAAATTTAAATGAAAAATTCAATTAGCGAAACAAAATCATCTTGTTTTTTCATTGAATAAGAAGAAAAATTCAAACACGAGTTTTCTTTTCCACGATGGATATATATGCAGAGAGATTGAAAATAAGTGATAACACATTACTAACATATATAGGGATCTTGTTCAATCTTTTAGTTGTTGTTGTAAGTTAATTTACTCATTTATTTTCATTCACATTTCATGATCATCATCAACTTGAATTTTGAAAAAAAGAAAAACTTTAAACATTTTATTTTATCTGGACATGCATATCATTATGATGATCATCAACATAATCATGTTGTGCATGTGTGTAATTGATTTATTTTTATTTTTTTTCTTTGTCGAAAAACAATTGAAGAGATAAAATCAAGATTCAAAAACAAAAAAATAGATCAAAAAGGCATCATTTGGCTACTGTGTGTGGTAATGAAACAACAACAACAACGAAAACGAGAAAATTAATTATTTATTGAACATTTTCATAAGGATGGTGTGAATTTTGACTTTTTGAAAAGAAATTTCAAATTATTACAGCTTGGGTTAGATTCTGTTTTCAACAGCCGAAATGTGTGTGTGGGAAAAAGTTGAAAAGGAAATCAATTTTGGGGATTATTTTGACTGATTGAAAAAAAATAAATTAATTTTTCATAATTCACATACATAGAATTTCAAATTTTGCTAGAATTTTGCTAATATTTTTCATAATTTTACATTTTTGTATGAATGAATGAATTTGGTGTGAATTTATTGATTTTGGTTGTTCATCTTTTTTTCAAATTTCGATCAATCGATTGTTAACATTGATGTAAGATGTGAATTTGAGTGTGTAAAATTAGTTTGTGAAAGTGAAAAAAAATTCATATTTTTTCAATGATAATTTCCAAGATTCATTGTCAATGTTTTCTTGGTTGAATGTATCAAAGCGTATAGAATTTGTATGTTTTTGTCACATAGCTTTCTGTCAACCGTACAAATAGTCTTTGGGGTTACATTTTTGGTTGAATATCGTTGAACCATAAAGTTTTAATTTTGTTGATCATCATCAGCCAAACCAACTTCCATATTCTTCATAGATTTTTAAATAGAATTCAAAATCATATCTCGAAATGATAATTTCTTAAATAAGAGAAATATTCATACGGAATCATTGAATCGTTACATTTGTTGTTCAATTCATTAAGAAAATGGAAAAAAAGGTACAAATTTAATATTTCCGATTCGAGAAACATCAAACACCTGAAACATCAAACGAAAACCAATTTAAATGAATCGATCGAGTGTGTGTGTGTGAACAAAATGTCCAAAAAATTGAAATTTCATAACAACAGCCGAAAACAAGAACAGAAAAAAAATTCTAAATTGATCGGAAAAAAATCGATCAAAACTTTGATCGATCAATCGATAGATCGATTGATCTATATTTAGCCAAAAAATTGATCAGATTTTTTTTTGTTCGTTACCAAAACAATTTTAAGAACAAAAAAAAGTATTGAATATTGTCCGAGGTAAAATGTAGCCAGGTAACAACAACCAGAAAACAAAATGCTTAAACGTTTAAAACAAAAGAGTTTACCTTCAGTGTCTGTGTGTGTGTGTGTGCATGATTGTTTTCTATTTAGATTTGATTTGATCTATTTTTTTCTTCTCGATTTTTGGATTAAATTTTTTTCGGTGTTCTTTTTTTCTTTGTTTTTTTTTTCGTTTCCAAAATTGCTTTTAGTTTGGTTCGTTCGTTTTATTACATAAACACGAATTTAATGTTCAATCATGATTAATAGCATGATAACGACGATGACGACGAAGGGAATCATTGTTGGACATGGATGTTGCTTTTTTTGGGTTGTTTCAGGTTAAATGTCAATGTTTTAATGATGATGTTCAACAACGACGATGGCGATCAATTTGAATTGGTTTTCAATCAATTTTGCGGGAAAAAAAAGAAATCAATTTCATTTAATCGATCAGATGATGATGTAGTGGTTTGAAGAATTTTTTCCCTTTAAAAAAATCTGATCTAGATTAAAATCTAGAGCAAATTGTCATCACCATTTTTTTAAAAACCCGAAAATGTCAAACAAACGACAATTCGGGAATTTTTATTTTGATTTTCGTTTCGCTTGCTGTCTATTATTGATGATTGTTGTTTGTTGAATGTTTTGATTTATCTCTTCATTCATTCGATACAAATAAACTTGTTACGATTATCATCACATATGCCACCATATTGATTTTTGTTTTCATAAAGATAAGTTTATTAGGTTTTTTTTCACCCCCTCTTTTGACGACTTTACTTTTTTTTCTTCGTTGTTTTTCGTTTGTTTATTATGTTGTCAGATAAAAACAAAAAAACAAAATCTAGAAATTGCTTAAGGGGGGAACCACCACCAACAAAAACATTTTCATTAAGACGATAAACAACAACAACAGAAAATCTCCCACCAATCATCATCATCATCATCATAACCATAATAATCATCGCCTACCATTCCTTTCTTTTGAAGAAACGAACAACAAACAATTCAATATTGACAAACATACACACACACACCTTAAACCTGCTGCTGATGATGCACCATATTTTTTCATAAAAATATGTAACATTCGATGAAAAGATTTATATTTTTCATTCATTCATTTTCACGGGCAAAAGGTGTGCCACCTTAGTGTTTGAATGTTGTTTTTTCATTGCTTTTTTGCTTTGCTTTTGTTTGAAAAGCATCAAGAAAAAAAAATTCAAAGATTTTCAATGGTAATATCTTAACCAAACGAATTCAGATTTATTCATTGATTCATTGTTACACCGTTTTATATTTTCTTCCGATCTTTTATCAACAAAAAAATCATCAACACATCATCGCACAGATAGATAGATATGATGAATGTCGGTTGTTTTTTTTTATTGCCTGAAGGTAACCCACCTTGTGATCACACACTCACACCAACACACTAAACACACTTGTCAATCACAAAATACATATTTTCTTTTAATTGCCAAAATGGTGTTGAAAACCGTTTTTTTTTTGGCTGGTTGTCTGGCTGTCCGTGAAAAACCGAAATGAATCAAAAAATCAAAATTTAGAAAAACCAAACAAAAAAAAAATTGAACCGAAATTCAAAGCAAAATACCAGAAGCAACAATGAAAAAACTGTTTCAGGAAAAATCCTTCTCCAAACAAAAAAAACAATGAAAATATTCATGATTATAATCAAGATGATGATGAAAAAAAAATCATTAGGTTTTTTTTCGTTGTTGGCCAGTTTGAAAAACAAAAACAGAAAAAGTGTGGCGGTCAATGATGATGATGATTTTTCATCATCATCATCATCTTTCATCAACATCTTTAATATTTTTTTTTCATCATGTTTGTACTGCAGACTTTTACAGTGCAGAAAACTAGATAACATGATGAAAACATGGTTTATAATAATAATAATGATAAATGAATAGAATATGTATATGTGGATTTAGAAAAAGCTAAGAAAACTATGAAAAAGATGATATAACTTAATCACATTTGGTCACTTGGTAGACTTGGGTAGACTATTTTTCCTTTTTTATCATCATAATCATCATTATGATTATGAATAAGATTTAAAGATAGAAAGGAAGGTTAAAAACTACTAACTGACTGACTGGATAAATCCAATCATCAACAATGACGCCAGTCTTTGGAAAAAATCATCATCAGGTGAACTGAAGGTGTTAGTTTTTACATTTGGTTTTTTTTCACATTCATTGCATTTGGCCAAATTCATATTTTGAATAAAATTTGATAAGAAAAAAAAAATGACAAAATGTTTTCATAATTGAAAGCACAAAACAAAAACATTTTGTTATTTTGCTTATGTTTTCAACGTTTTTTTTTGATTGTTGATATCACTTTTATCATTCGAAGTATATTGAACTAAATCAAATAAACAACCAAACAAAAAATCTCATGATAAAATCAATGTTAAGCAGTAGAAGTATTGGCAGAGTGTGGTTATAACAATCACATTAACTAACTAATAAACATTAATCTAATAACCAATGGTTGTTATCGAGCAATCCTCAACAATCAATCAATCAGTCAGTCAATGTTTAACATTTGTGTTTAGATTATTTAACAAGTGGAGAATTTTAAAAAAAAATGTTATTCGTTAAAAAAGTTTTACAAAATATAATACGTATTATTGAATATATTTTATTGAAAATATGGCCAATAATATTATTGTTTCGATGTATCCAATATCATTTTAAAGAATTTTTTCGAAATTTTGAATTATTTGGTTGGAAAAAATTGAATTTTGATGAAGAATTTGGCAATTCGACAATTTGTTTGGATGGAAAAATCTGTGTAATAACTGGTGGTACACGTGGTATTGGTCGGGAAACAATTAAATATTTATTGCAGGAGAAAAATATTTCAAAAATTATTACCGGCAGTTCACAACTGGATTTAAATTCCAATGAAAATGAAATTGAAAATTTTAAACAAAAAATTTTATCCGAATCAAATTTATTGGAATATAAAGATCGATTGATTATTTATCCATTGAATTTAGGTTCAATGGATTCGGTAATGAAATTTGTTGAAAAAATTTGTAAACAAGAATCTAAAATTGATTATCTGGTTTGTTATTATTGTTATTGAATTTCTTTTTCGATATTCATCAATCTCTCTCTCTCTCCCTGATAGATATGCAATGGTGGTGTATTGATGCCTGAAACAAATGATGATGATGAAAAAGAAACATTTTTCAATAAAACAATGGCAATCAATTATTATGGTCATTGTTTATTGATAATAAAATTATTGAAATTATTTCATCAACAACAAAAATCCCGTATTATAATTGTAACATCGATTATGCATCAATTTTGTTCGATTAATTTTAATGATTTACAATTACGTCAGAAATCATATTCACCATTTTTATCATATAGTCAATCAAAATTAGCCAGTATAATGTTTACATATCGTTTTAATAAATGGATTGAAAATAATTTAAAATCCACCAATGATAATGATTATTCGTTGACAATAAATTGTTTACATCCAGGAATTTGTCGATCAAGTATGATTGGTAGAATTTTACCAATAAAAGTACCGGATTTTATTTGGAATTCAATTACCAGGGTATGTGTGTGTTGATTTTGTTCGGATTTTTTCCATTTATCTTGAAATTTTGAAATTTTCAGTCAACCAAAGAAGGAGCTGAACCAATTTTGCTGGCAACATTATCACCAAAATTAATGAATAAAAGTGGTAAATATTATGAAGATTTATGGGAACAAAAATCCAGCGAAATATCTTATGATGAAAATCTACAACAAAAATTATGGCAACAAACATGGCAAGATTTACGTCAATGGCTTACTGATGATGAATATAATCGATTGATGGAATATTTTTAACATGACATGATTGACCTGATTGATGGGTAATTCGTTTTCTTGAATAAAAAAACTTATTTTTCTCAACAAAAAAAAACTAACGAAATAAATGAATTTGATTTTTGGAGGGGGAGATGCCAAACCAATTTGTATTATTATTAGCAATATAAACACTTAATCAAAACCATTATTACACGAAAAAAAATCCGAAAAAAACCGATAAAGTTCACTATTCACATTGTTCATTTGCAAAGAAAAGAAAAGAAAAGAATTTTTCAAGGATCATCTTTATCCAAAAGTCATCATTTTGTTGATGAGATTTCTTTTGCTTTGAAAGAAAATTTACCCCCAAAAAGCAAAAAAAAACCATTTACCAAAACAAATCTATTTCCAATATACATTCAATATTTAGGATTTTCATTCTATTCATGCGTTTAAAATTGGTAAACTATGAAATCATGGTAGAAAAAAAATGAATCGATTGAAATGTTGTTTGTTGACACAATGTCTATTGCCTGAATGTGTAATGAAATAAATGTTATGGTATTGAATGTAGGATACAAAGAAATGTGATTGGCATCACACACTAACACTAAATACCTATTTACCCGGTTATTTTGTTCGTTTTTCTGTTCGTTGTTATACAATTCAGTTATGAAAAAAAATAACGAAAAAGGAGATAATCACACAACGTCAATCTCAAAGAACATCGTATATGAATAATAATAATGATTTTCGGTAAGAAGAAAAGATTACAAGATTGAATAATCATCATTTCCATCATCATCATCCATCTATTGATGGGGCAATGGCGATGACAAATGAACCGAATAAACGATTCGATTCGATTTAAAGATTATAACTTGATGATGATGATGACCATAACCACAAATACAAGATTAATGGACATTGAAAAGATGAATGGATAGAATCATCCAGCAAGCAAAATACATCAGGATTTCTTTTTTTCTTGGTATGTGGATAAACCAGATTGAAAATGATGATGAATTGAACATTGAACACAACATAGAAGGAAAAACAAACATAAATTTATGACATTATAATTATTTGAATCGATGAAAAATGAAATCATTTTATGGAGCTTTTTTTTCATCTGAATAAAAAAACAAACAAAACCAGAATTATCCTCCATAATCGATCAATGGTCACAAAGATTTAACTAAGCGTTAATGGATTTACCTGGATTTATCAAACGATTATCGAACGATTGTCATATGTACGGTTGTCAATTTGGAATTTGACCACCTACCTAAATTTAGATTATAATCATCATTATCATTATAAATTGGTCACTTGGTCATCATTCAACTAGAAAAAGGATAATTATAATTTTTTCTTTTCAAACGGATGAAAAAATTCACACACACACAGATGCATCAGGCTTCTGTGAAAATCCCGAAAAAATACCTTTTGATCATCAAATGATGACGAAGAGTAATGATGTAAAATCAAATTCAAATTTTTTAAAAATTCCATCTTTGAAAAAAATCAAAAATCAAATTTAAATATTGTACCTTAAGTAAAAAAAGATCTAGATTAGCTATTGTCTCTCTGTGTGTGTTTGTGATTAATCAGAACATACACAGACAGAGATAAACAAAAAACAAAAAAATCTAGATTATCCAATGTGAAGATTAGGTATGAAACAGAAATAAGAAAAAATCCAATCATAATCGATGATGATAATGATAATGATGATGACAAGGTGTTAAACCAAACCAAACGAATAATCAGGTAATATTCAGCAGAGAGAAACACCTGTTTTTGGCTTTTAAAAAAGTTTTTTTTCCCCTTCTTCGTTGTTGTTGTTGTTGTTTTTCACCATCATACATCATCAATTTTTTTTTCATTTTTGATCAAAGAGATAATATAATCAGATAACACTTTGATCGTCAATTTGAATATGAAAAACAACAACAACAACAACAAAATGAACAACTTAAAAAATCTTATCTGATTTTGTTTTTGTTTCTGAGATTTTTATCTATCAATTTTTTTTCTTCGTTGAAATGATGTTGATAATAGTGAAAGACATCTGCTTGTGTCCGATATTATTTGGTTTTTTTAAACAAAATGACATCATTGATTGGTGGTGGTGATGGTACACAATTTACCGACAACGATAAGATAATTGCCTTGTTTCGTTTCAAAAAAAAAGATTGTCAGATTTGAAAGCCAGAAAAAATCATGATTTTTTTTCTCGAAAAATGAAACAAAAAACAATCAGAAATAAACTTTGATCTAGATTTGTTTTTTTTTTGTAAATTTTTTAAAAAAAGGGAAAAAAATAAAAAAAGTTTCGCTAAATCTAGAACAATCATGATGATTTCAAGAAATCAAACCAAAACCAAAACCAAAACCCGAATAGAAAAGATGCTTTTAACCAAAAAGTATTTTCCCTTTATCAAGTATCATATAATTAAATGAAATTATTATTATTATTATTGACATAACATTGGAGCATCTTGTAAAAACGAAACGAAACGAAAAAAACATTTGAAAATTATATAACGGTATTTTCAAAGTTTCAAAGGCAATTTTTTTGTTTTTTGTTTTGTTTCAAAGTTGAATTGTTTTCTTTTTCTCAAAGTTTCAGTTTGAAAAAAATCGCTGTGTTTTGGATGATGATGGTGGCATTTGTTTGTTTGTTTGTTTGATTTGATTTTTCTTCACTTGATCATCAAACAATGTTGATTTCAGAAACTATTTTAACAAAAGGTTTATCATCATGTTTTGATCATCATAATGGCTATTAGCATGTCGAAAACCAAACCAAAAGAAAGAAACAGTGTTTTTTTTCTTATCTGAATCCGATGCTACATGCAAACACATATTTGCGATAAAAATCGGCGTGACTGATAATAATATTTTTATTTTGGAGAAAAATAATGTTCAACAAAAACAACAACAACAAAGCTAATTCAATCATGATGGCCACCGTAGTTTGATGTTTTAATAATTCATATTTTCATTCATTCATAAGCTATAGCTATAAATATCGATCACACAATTCAACATTTATAAACATGATTGACCTTTGGTCATGGTTTGGGTTTATTTTCTTAATACACAGTTTTTAATGATTAACATCATCATTATTATCGTTGATGATGATTTTAAATTCAAAATGACCAGACAGGTAAATTGGATATTTTTTTCAGTGAAAGGAAAAAAGAAACAACAAAAAACAACGAAATTGACATCTTTCCATTTGGCAATAGAAAAAATTTCCATTTTTCAAAAATTTGACCGGAAAAATGTTATTTTTGTTTGTTTTTTGGTTTCCAGTCAATATTATTTAATTGTAGGCCACAAAAAATTTTTGTTGTTTTTTGAACCAGAAAAAATAAATAAAAATGTCCGGTCATTCAAATGCCAACAACAACAACAAAAAGTTTTATTGAATTTATGGCCATTTTTACAAATGGAAAATTTTTTTTTTTTTGCTAATCATCATGACCGTACATCACTTAGGTTATTTTGTGGCCATTTCATTTTGTTATTTCGTCTTGGGTTTTCCGCTTGTCAAACTTTTCTGTTTTTGTATGAGGATTGTTTTTTTTTTCGTCGATTCATTCATCCGTTCATCACAATTGACTAATAAATAATAAAAATCGATTTGGATTGATCAATTTGATCGTCAAACGACCGGTTAGACAACGAAAAAAATTGTGTGGAAACCAGAAAAAAAAGGCAAAAAAAAATTGACCAAACAATCAATGGGTTAATTGTATATTATAAACATTATGGTCGATGAATGTGAATAATATTCGTAAGGATAATTGTTAGGTAAACATCGTAATAGGTAAAAGGTATGATGATCACGAGAATTCTATTTCTTTTCTTCTTTTCTTAACTCAGTTACCAAGAACAAACAAACAAACAAACAAATGAAAAAAACCCCATAAATATTTATGTTAAATGAATGATTTACGAATGAATTGTGAATTGTGAAAAAACTCACGAATTGTTCTCGGAAAGCAATAAAGAACAATTTTTCGTTTTTGATTTGATTTGAAAGAATGTCGACATAGAATGGATGATTCTTCTTCATTTTGACCACAAAAATCTTGTTTGAAAATTCATTTCGTTTGAAAAAAATGAAATTTCTTGATAGCCACAAACGTTGTTCATCAAGTATCGATAATTTATGATCGATTTTTTTGTTTGAAAAACTTGAAAACAAAAACTAGATCATCGAATGTTGATCGGTGGTTGTTACGTTTTACTTGTTTAAATAATTGATCTGGCTGGATGAAGCAACAAAAATGATGTGATCTTTCAGTGAAAACAAAAAAAAAATTCGGTTACAAGATGCGGGTCTTTGATCATCGTGATCAAACACTCCTACCTATCTGAACAAAATTATCCAGAGAAATTATTGTTTGTTTGTTTATTTTGGATAATAAATCGTCAACATCAACATCATTCATAATCGATTCAAAAAGGTAAAATAAACTGAAATTTTTGCTGTCAAACATGAATTTGACAAACGTAATTCAATAAATGAAAGAAAATTCCAGTGAACTTTTCAACAACAACAACGACGATCATAATAATTGAAAATTGTTAAGAATTTCTAGGATAATTTATGGATTTTTTCTCCGTAACAACAACAACAACAAGAACTGAGAATGAAAAACTGAAAAAAATCGATACATCTTTATTTCCCTAGAATTGGAAAATGAAAAAACAAAAAACAAAAAACTTTTAATTTATAACTACTTGACCAGAAGCCCCAAGATAAACAAACAAACAAACAAATGTATAAATCGTTGTGACAAGATGCAATAGATCAATAGGTCGGTCATCATGATGACGACCTGCTGAAAGATTTATAACTTTGAGAAGGGAAAAAAATGAGATTTTTTTCATTTGAAATTTATTTGTGGCTATTTCTGTCAATGGTTGTTTGAATGATAAATTTTTTTTTATTTTTTTAAATATAACAAGTGTGAATAAGTGAATGAAAGAAAGAAAAAAAAGGATTTTACCTTGAACCATAAGACGAACTTGACCATTTTCACGTTTATTATTGACCAAACATAGATAATCACCTGAATCACGAAACGATACTGAACGTAATAATAATGCACCAGTTTCCGGTACAAATGAAACATGATCACCAACTTGCCAATTAATTATTCGTTGATTTTCAATCTGTATGTAATTTTGAAAAAAAAGAAGTTTGAAAAAAAGTGAAATTAAAGTAACCAGGTAAAAATGGGAAAATTCCATTGTTATAAGTGTTGTGAATTGTGAATTTGATGAGAAAATAATTGCTTTCAGACCTAGAAAAATAGCTATATGGCTCATCATCATCATCAACATAAACGATGTTCATGATATGAATTATGAATTTTTTTGCATAAACTTTTATGGATTCCCGAACAAATCAAGTGAAAGCATTATAAGCAAACGTTGTTCATAATCGTCAATCATTTTGCTGAATGTTCATTTCTATTCCAGTTCTTCTTCAGATAATTGGCCAATTTGAAAGCAAAGAAAAAAAATGAAGATTGAGAAACAAGAAACAAAAACAGACACTTCTAAGCAATTGAATTGATGATGATTTCTAGGATCATCATCAGACAATCATCATCATAATGATAATCATCATCAGGCCTTTTTTTCACAAGGTCCAAGAGAGAATGTAATTGAAAATTGATTTTGAAATCAATCAATTTATGTGTGTGTGCAAGCAAGCAAGGGAAAACTTTACCACTGTAAAAGAAAAAGATAACTGATTTCTGATCAATTATTTGACCGATTAAAATTAGCATTTATGCAAATTAAGCTACAAAAATACAGGTAATGATGATGATTTGAATGATTTGAATGTGAACAACAAGAAAAGAAAAGCAGAAAAACTGAAAATTTCTATTAATCGATCTTTGTTCGGTGTTTGAATCTTTTCTTTTCTTTTTTTCTTGCTATATTTATCGATATCATTCGTGGATCGTATGAGAGAAAAGAAAAGAAAATATTCAAGAATTTTTTCAGTATGAAAAAATCGTGAGTAAAGTTTTTCCATTCGACACACACATTGTATATTCGTTAACAAATGGTCGTTTGTTTCTTTCTATCTAGTCAGTGTGCGCTTTTTTTTCCAGGCCAATTTTTCTCAGGTCCAACAACAATGACTAATTTACACGAAAATGAAAAAATGTTCAGGTGAATTTCTGCTTGGTGTTTTTTATCCATTAAAAGGATTGTTGTATCATTGTAATGTGTCAATCGAATGACTGACTGACTGACTATGGCTCCTTATTATGAGATTATTCGTTTATTGTTTTATATGGAAAAATGAAATTTGGTTTTTTACTGTATAAAGAAAAAGGGGAAAATAAAAAGGGGATGAAAATGAAACTTACCTCAACAACTTTACGTTCATCTTTAAACCATTGAATATTATAAATTTTAGTAGCACGAGATGCTGGTTCACAAACAATTGTTGTATTACTACCACGACGTGTATAAATATTATGAAATTCTAGTTGTTGTCCTAAATCACCTGTTCGTGGGAGAAAATTTAAATTTTCAAAAAAAACATTAAAGTTTCATTTTTTTCAATTTGAAAAATCCATGAAATTTTGGACAAGAAGATTGTTTCGGTTTTGGTTGGTTCGTTTGTTGATTGATGTTTGTTTGTTTGTGCGATGTGATTGAATGGACCGGAACAAAAAGTGATGTCATTTGGTTGGATGGATATGGGAAGAAAGAAAAAAAAAGTAAAAGAAAATTCAAATTAATAATCAGAAAATTTGATTCGGTTGTCATTTGCAACAACAGCCACTGAAAAAAAGGGTTGAACTGAATGAAAGAAAGAAATCATCCCTTTTTTTCCTATGACAGAATAATTAATTAAAATTTGAAAAAGAGTTTTTCCGTTAATTTAAATTTAAATTAAATGATCAATTTGTCAATGGAAGAAATGAGAAATGAAGAAAATTCATTCAATTTGATTTGAATTGAATTTTTATCGTTTAAAATTGATTGAAAATCAACCAGAAAAATAAGAAAAATTACTTTTGATCATCCATTAGCAAATCTCTCTCTCTCTCTCTCTGCCCGACAAATAATGATACAACAAAATAGGGTAATAAACATCTTTTCAAGCAGATTTTCTTTTTTAGTTTTCTTCGATACCAAGTAAACAAACAAAACAAAACGAATGATAATAAAATTACATTGAAACAAAATAAAATGAAATCGGATTTCTTTTCTTTTTTTGGATGAAATCTACATTTTGCATACACCTGGGAAAAAAATTCTCTAGTCCGACACATTTATACAGATTTTAACGGTTCTCGAAAAAGAATCCAAAAGAATAAATCAAAAACGCGGACAGATGGTTTATTTTAATGATGTTTATTTGGTAATCAAATATTTCCAAAAATTCATATATCAGATGTGTGAATCGTGGGAGAGATGAAAATTATTATTTTTATTGATTTTTTCGAATAATAAAAATAAATTCGACAAACACATTTGAAACAGACGTGCGCAGCTGCAACTTTTTCTATTTTTACTGCTGGCTTCGGTTGTTGTTGTTTCAGGAACCACACAGAACAACAATTCTCAATTACTCGATTTGGGAATTAAAAACCGATGTCGTTTGCATCTGTCAACAATCATAGAATATTTTTTTGATAGAAATTCTGATTCTTTGTGTTGTGTTTTCTGGGTTTTTTTGGTTTAGTTTTATGGGAAATGAACTTGTGTTTTTTCCCATATCTCTAATTCCGATTGAAAATTGAAAATGTTTTCCAGTAGCCAGGAACTAAACATATGAAAGTTTGATTTTTTGTTTCATTTTTTCACGAAACAACTCGTTGTTGACTGTGATTGGTTTAGTTGAAAGAAAAAAAACCTAGATTTTAAATTAACAGCAAAAAACAACAGGTCTTTTCAATATATGTCCGGTGTTTGACCATCGACAGATGTGTATGGTATCAGCCTACGTGTTTTATTTTATCAAAAACATTGTCCATCAAGTTGAGTCCATTGAAACTTTCAACCAAAAGAAACACTGTACGTTTGTATGCGTAGTGTGTGTGACCAAAGCCAAGCCAACAAGCCAAGTTATCGATGAACATCTGTCATCCACTACAGTACAAAACAAAACAGGTCTCGTTTCATTTTGTTTGGTCGGTCAAAGGTTATACCTTAGTTATGCGTATTTGAACAGGAAAATTTTCGTTGTTTTGATTTTCTGTTTTGTTTCTGTTGTTTTCAGTCTTCAATTGAAAAGGAAACTACTCGTGTGTCTCGAAGATTTTAATCTATCAAAAAAAAAACTTTTGGAAAATCTTCAAGATCCAATATGAAAAAAAGAAAAAACATCTGTCATATTGCAAGGAGACTACCGTGTGTGTGTTGTTTAACGATAAACTTTGATTGAAAACAAACGAAAAAACAAAAAATTCTGTTATGGATCAAATTAAGATAATTTTTTGTTGTTGTTGTTGTTGATGAATTTGACTAATGATGATGATAAACGTAAAGATGTTTCACTTTTCATTTTATCTTTCTCTATGTGTGTCTGTATGTTTTTCTCTCTTCAAATCAATCAATTGTGATCAATACTCGATTTTTTTTTTTTTTTTTTGATGATAAAGAGAGAACATGATTAGCAACAAATGAAATGGGAAGTCACGAACAAAGATTTTCATTTTCATTCATTCATTTTTTGATGATGATTATGATGATGAAAAAAATGCAAATTAACATTATCATTATGGATGAAAATCATGAAATTGGTCAAGATGATGATCATCATCATCATGGTTCCATTTGGACATTAACATCGACAGATGGATGTTAACAATATTTATTGAAATTGGATATTGTCATCTTCAACTGATCATCAAACTGATCATCTTCATTTCATTCATTCATTTGATGATTATCATTTGTAATCTTATCCGGAAAATGAAATGAAAAAGATTGTTCATTCAAAAAAAAGTTCATAACTCTTTTGTGTGTGTGTGTGTAGGATGATAATATCATTGTCTATGTTTATTGTAACAGATATTGAAGATATTGAATGCGAAAAAAAAATCAAGGTAATTTTTTGATGTCAATGATGATGATTATTATGTTTATTTTTTTCTGGGTTTGGTCTTTGGTTTCATGATGAAATGAGAATTTCTTTAAAGAATTCTTTTCTTCTGTTTTTCAGGGGATAAAAAAAACTGCACGCAAATCATTTGATGATGAAGTCTGTTTTGTCAATATTCAAAAAAAAACGATGCTAATATCGTGATAGACATTATGGAGAGAAAGCAAAAAAAAATTCTCATAATTCACTACATCATTACAATGAAAAACATCGAGAAAAAAAACCACACACAAACACAAACCAAACCAAATGATAATTACTACCTTTGAGGGGTTTGAAATATTCAAAAATTTAGGAAAAATTTAAATATCTTTTTAGTTCATCAGGATAATGAATGAATGAAACGGACCAATTTGAATGGATGGATGATTTCAGGAGAAACTTTTTCGCAAAACAAAAACAAAACAAATTGATTTGATTGTTGATCTAATGAAGAAACCAAATGATTATTTGTGTCGACTTCCTTTTGTCGTTTGACAAAAATCATCTTTATCTTTTGTGATGAAGAAAAAAAATGAATTTTTCTTGAAAAAAACGAAAAAAAAATGACAAGCGACAAATTTTTTGTGCAGAAAATTTGCACGTGCGTAACCAGCAGCAGCCCTAAGGACCTTGTCTTGCTTTTTTTTTGGTTACAGGTAATTAAAGATTAATCACCGAAGCATATAGCATTTTCGTTTCGTTTGATATTTTTCGTTGATGATGACAAGAAAAGAAAAGGAAGGAAGGAATCAATTTCCTTTAACAACCCAGAAAGAAAGAAAAAAAACCGTCCAATTGAATCAACGAATCTTGTTGTTGTGCAATTGTATGTTCAAACAAGGGTGACCTAACTATTTAAAATACAGAAAAGTAAAGAAATTCAAAATTCAATTGAAGGATGCAAACAATTGAATCTCGTTTATTTTCTTTCTTTCTCTTGCCTTTGGCCTGTTTTTTCTTTAAATGAAAAGAAAAGAATAGATACTTGTTGAAGCTAGAAA